TCATTTACTAGCATAACATCAATGTTATGTCTAGTAAGAAAATTTGAAATTTCCACTTGTTGGTATCTAATGTCGTTTGAAGTATAGTAACAAATCTTTAAGAAGCTATTTGTAGCTGAGATAAAATTTATTTGACTATGAGTTTGATTAAAATTCATAGTTTAGATTTGAGAAATATTCGAAGGCCGCCATACCAACCTCTAGTTTGTCAAATATTGTTTTTGATGTTTTAAATTTCTGGAAGAATTCTTTAGCTTGAGTGAATTGGATTTTTATCCAGTTAAAAAAGCCAAGTGGATTGGGCTCTTGACAGAGCAACACGAGATACTTATACCAGAAGTAGGCATGACGTCATCTCACGGCAACCAATCAGCTAACGGCATGACTCGGCTTTCCAGATGACGTAACATCACGTTTCGTTTTTGCATCTCAATTAGGCTGAAACATTTGTTCTCAATACAAACAGTGGCAGTGAAAAACGAAGTAGAAGTAACTACTATATCCCTTTAAAATAAGAACTAAGCCTAATAAATATTTCAAGGAGGAGAGATGATGCAGAAAAGGGGTTACAATAAGTCATATTTTCCAACAAAAGTGTCTCATTTACACCGCTCCGCATCTGCGAGTGCAATCCAGAGCTGTAACTCGAGAAATGCTGTTAGGCAACGTGTTCACCACGTTATTTTCATTGTTGCGATAAATGTCTATCGACGTGGTGTTCACGTTGCTCGCAGTTTGAGACAAAAGCATCTCAACATGCGTGGCACGTCTTTTTAGCGCAAGTGGTTAAGAGTTCAGTATTGCAAGTGTTAAAATTCTGTTAATATATGTGCTAAAGTAAAGTAAATGTTTGCATAATTCTAAGAACTGAAACCTTAGAGTGTGAATGAAATATTTAAACATAAGCTATCAAAGTAAGAGAAAATTAAAATCACTTCTGCTAAAGTCTTTTTCCTTCCAGATGACTGGAAGGAGAACAACTGCTATTGTGATATACAGAATTGTTATGTCCAAAGGTTTAAGATGTAAAATTTATTTTATAAGCAATTGTGATAAGAAGTTAGCTCCTGATTTTTTTTAATTTAAGATGTTAATAAGGTCGTTAAAGATATCTTTGTGATTACTTAAATACTCGCAGGTTAAAATGTAAGCTATTTATGTTGATTAACCAGTTATTTTATGTTACAAATCTCTACTGTCGCTCCTTCCATTACATTTTCCTGCCAGAATGCAAATTTTAGCATGACTGAGTGTTTGAGATTGTTTTAGAGTGTATTCTGCCTGATGAAGACCACATCACTAGTTGATAGTATGTCTATAACAGTCTACGATAGTTCTATGATAGCATTCCTGTCTACGGTGTTGTTTTATTCTTGCAGATTGTGATGTCACACAAGTGAAGGTTACAGCCAACTTAAATATTTAACTATATCTGCATAACTTTGGCTAAATAAGATTTAGTTTCAATTTTAAATTCTACTTTTGAGTTCAAGCCATAAATGCTGGTTGGTCTGTAAGCGCCGGGTTTTTTAATAAAAGGATCTTAAAGTTAAACAATACAAAGTCCGATATCCAGACGTCCAACATCCGAAATGATCTAAAACCTGGACCTCAAAACCACCACCACCGTTTTTCTCGTAGGCTTTACGCATGCGCATTTGATTCTCCCCTCCGTGCATAATAAAGGATCTGGAGAGTCCCGATTCTTAATTTCCCTTAGACACTACATAAAATACCTTGTTATTGGAGAAATAATCATTTTAGCATAAATATGTACGATCAGTAATTTGGCTCCATTGCTACATATCTGCTTGGCACACATCTCAAAACAAAACATTCCACATAGATATATCGTTGATCTGATGCTAACCTAGCGAATCATTATTTATTATACTTTCCTTTCATCACTGCATGTTTATCAACATATGACTACTTGAGTAATGACTCATGTAGCAATGCCTAAACAACTTTTTTATGTTAGTTATTAAATAACAAAGGAGTATGGTAACCTTTCATGTTGACATGATGCTTGATGATGATTCTAGATTTAAGTTAAATGCACTAAGAAATATTGATGAGAAAAAATTTAACACTAATTTCTTTCCATAAGCTACAATAGATTTTTAATGATACTCATAGGCCAAAAGATTTAGTGCTATTTCGTTTGTTATTCACATAAACCCAGAACTGGTGCCAGAGCTCGTATGGCCGCATGTTGACATGATGCTTGGCGATGATTCCAGATTTAAGTTAAATGCACTAAGAAACGTTGATGAGAAAAAATTTAACACAAATTTCTTTCCATAAACTACAATGGATTTTTAATGATACCCATAGGCTAAAAGATTACATTTAGTGCTATTTGATTTGTTATTCACATAAACCCAGAACTGGTGCCAGAGTTCGTATGGGCGTATCAGGCAGCAGAATTTAGAGAAGATAAAATTTTTGGAATTTAGAGAAGCAAAGAGTAGCCAAATTAAGGGACGACAAAAATACTCGAGCACAAAATTTAGGGGCAGCAACAATTTTGAACTTTGGCACTTGAAAGCAGACATCAGGATTCACAGAGACTGCATCAGGCTGTAAGATATCCAGCACTGGCCCTCAATAAACCTTAAGTATATGTGGGAATTTATTTATTCAGGACTCAGGTAAGCATGTGTAAGAAATAGACGTAAATATAATAAATAAACTACATAGCTAATAATTACAGCAAATGGTATTAAGCTGGGCTAAAATTATACTTTACTGTTTCCAAGGGATTCCAGTTAATATAAGCAGCTTGCGCTGTTTCTGATTTCATGAAGGTTATTATTTTTTGCAGGCTGTTATTATTATAGCAATTTTATGAAAATTAAAGTGTGAACTTTCGATAATGTCGAAAAGAATTTCTAATTCTGGAGCTGTAACAGGATCTACAAAGCGGAAGCATGTTTCAATGTCCATTAAAGAAAAAATGGAATTGCTGGAAAAAATTGATAAAGGTATATTCATGTCAAAATTATGCAAGGAATATGACATGGGAAAGTTAACTGTATATGACATAAGCAAACGAAACATTTTAAATTTTTTGTGGGTTTTGACACCCCACTCGCACTGAATACCAGAAATATTATCCATTAAAAGTGACAATCATGACAAAGTGATAATTGAATGGGTCAGACAGTGTCGCAATGAGGGCCTGCCATCAACGGGTCTAATGCTAATGGCTCAAGCCGTAATATTTCTTGAAGAAATGAACTTAAAAACTGAATGTACATATTTGACAGGTTTGTTAACCAAATTTTAAAATCACCATGGTATAAGACATTTAAAAATTTCAGGTGAACAAGCTTCAGCTGATATTGAAGCTGCTGAACTATTTACAAATGAATTCATTGATCACACTCAATAGTGAAAAATTGTCTCCAGAACAAATTTACAACACTGATAAAACTAGTCTTTTCTGGTTATATTTACTGAAAAATATTAAATACCTCGGCAGCCTCTACAGAAAAGGCTCCACCTGGTGTCAAAGCTTCCAAAGCGAGATTAACAATTTTAGCGTGTGTAAATGCTGCAGGAACGCACAACTGTAAACTTTTCATAATTGCAAAAAATACACGACCTTGAGCATTTAAAGGAGTAAGGATTTTCTCCGTTATATACCATGCAAATAAAACAGCATGGATGACACATGCATTAACAAATGATTGGTTTGAAAATCATTTCATATCTGAGGGTAGGCAAAATTTGAATTTGGTTGGTTTACCTGACGAAGCAAAAATTGTCCTGATTGTAGACACTGTTCCGCCCATACTTCATTTAAAGTTTTAGTGAAAGATAATGTATCCATATTATCCTTTCCTCCAAACTGTACATCGATTATTTAGCCTATGGATATCGTAACAGTACGCACACTGAAATGCAAAAACAAAGTAGCATTTTTTAAATCCATGTTAAATTTCTTGAATTATGGCAAGGCTATTCAAGAATTTTTGAGATCATTTTTGCATAAAATCTGCTATGTGGAACATCGCAAGATCGTGGGAGGATGTGTCTCCAGACACGTTAAAAATTTCTTGGTATAATTTATGGCCAGCTACCATATTTCATGATGAGGATAATGAAAATGATAGCCAGGAATTTGAAGGTTTTTGAAAATCACAAAAAAAAGGTAAAATTTTCCATTTAATAGATTTTGTAAAGAAATGTGGAGAAGCAGTAATAAATGAAGATGTTATAACAGAAGTTTTTCATTACGATGACAATGCCCCAATGATCATTCAATTAATAGATGGCAAATTCTGAAGTATGGTTCTAAATCCATAAAATACCGCTACCGATAGTGAAGAAAATGACAGAGAGGTTATTGAAAACAAAATTATTTCGATTGACAAGTTGGAATTCTGGCCACAGCAATTACAGGACTTTAACAATAGAACTTTGTAATTGATTAAGTAATTATGTCTGTCTACAGAATTTAAGAGAAACTATTAGCACAAAAAAAGAAGCAACTTAGACAACTTACATTGAAAGAACTGTTTAATAAAGTAAAGAAATAAATATTCAGCTTTCTTTTCATAAATTTTGATACCATTTAGATCATAAGTGTTTCGTTATTTCATAAATCATGATTTCGTATTTTTAATTTCATAATTTCTACATGCCTTCTTACTAGATTTAAACTGATGATCTAATATCATGAAAAATCCCAAATTTGGAATCGTCGAAGTCCTGACAAGTCCGGATTTTGTATTGTATATATTTCTCGGTACCTCTTGATTACATCATTTTTATTTCTTGCTCCTTTGTATTCAAATTAAGTATGCTTCAAGTATCATGATTTGAAGCATAGAATGAAAACTCTCATCCAGTTTGATAAAAGAAAAATTTTCACTTATTCAATTGGAAAATATAATTCTATAGTTAAAAACATTCACTGATAACCGGTCACAATAAATCTTACAAACAATTTAATACCCTATCTGAAGAGAAGAAAAAAATGCAAAACTTACTTCTTTATTTTGAATATCAGCAAGAACATTTGAAGTTCCAATAGGCTCTTTAAAAGTTCTATTTGCATTAGTATCATTAAATGATTTTTTTGCAACGAAATTTTCACCTTGAGAACTGTGAAATGTAGTTCCTAAGCCTTGCTTTCCAACCACTAAAGTACGATTCTGTGCTTTTTCAACAGAAATTTTTTGAATAAAATCCTGCAAAATATATCATAGGTTTAAAATACAAAACACCTCTCAATTCAAATAAATATAATAAAATAGTGTATAAAAATATTCAGTTACAGGTGAAAATGCAAATATCAAATCAAAATATTTAGATTAAACAATAGTTTAAAAATAGGAAATACAAACTGAAAAACTATTATATATAAAATTCTGCATAACTTAATGCTTACTTGCTAGCGTACCTTCGGCAACTCAAATATCAAGAATTTTAAGAAATGAAGTGAATTTTCTCAGCAAAGTTTTTAAAGTATCTTTATATATATAAGAGGCTTAAGTGTTTGTCATCGAAAGTTTACTGTTGCCACTCGGAAAAATGCACGGAAATTAACGTATCCACAGTTTTTAATTAATATCTTGGCCGATTAAAGTCAAACAAAGATGAGAACGGTATCAACGGATTCGAAGAACTTTTTGGAATCCGAGGATACGAGTCTCGAATTTCAACTCGGCACCGTTCCGTAGATATTCGAGAAAAAAGAATTTGGCACGTAGCCAAATCCCTCCAATAGGGAAAACCCAAGAAAGAAAGTGGAAAATGTAGGAGAAAATTAGTTTTTAATTAATATCTCGGCTAATTAAAGTCCCACAAAGACGCGAATGGTCACAATGGCGTGCCACGGACCTGCGGAATTCAACGGTGTGCTTTGCTAAGCATGGGAGCCAGCAGTTTCAGAGGAAATGATGTTACTTCCCCACATATATATACATGCGGCTTAAGTGTCTGTTTGTCGCCGATAGTTTATTGATTGCTTGTGTAACTGTACTAGCCAATGGGGTGAAGTTGCCACGGCACATGGTTGCCGTTTCAATTGAGACGCAGAAAATTTCCTGTAAAACTTGCCTTTGCTATGACCATCAATAAGTCTCAGGGCCAAACGTTTAAGTGTGTTGCCATTTTTTTACCTGAGCCTGAATTTGGACACGATCAACTTTATGTTGCCTATTCAAGAGTTTGTGAAAGAACGGACGTAAAATTAAAAATAATGGATGGTAGAAATGTTATGTACAAAGAGATCTCTGACATGTGAATTAACATTTTATTATTTAAATCACCTTTATTTTTAGAGCTAGCGGTGGCTCTTAAGTAATGTACCGCCAGTGGTTTCCTTCATTGCACTCTAAGCAATTAAGCTAATAGAAGGGGGAAACCCAGTGGGGCAGTAAGCAAAGGGGCATCTTCGCCGCCTGCCCTGGGTAATTCATTTTGAATTAGCAGACACCTTTGCACAAATCATTTTAATTACAATTTACTATAATATCTAGGACAACGATCATTTCATATGACCGCCGGGCTTTCTACTAAAAATAGAGAAATACTTTTTTATAATTGATTTTCATTTAATTGCAATGGTAGCAGATTTGCCATAGAACATAATAGTCACAGATTAAAAAATACTATACCTTCAGTTTTTGTATCCTTTGTAAAATTTTAGGTGTTTCACATATTTGTCTAGCTTGTTCAAATAAACGTAAAGAATCATGAAGTTTTCCTTCAGCTGCTAATTCTTTTCCTTGTTTTTGCAAATCTGCAAACTCTTGCAGTTGAGATGGGCTTAAATTATTTAACTTTTCAGAAGACATATCTAAACAGTAAAATAAAATATATCTTTCAAAATGCATTCTATGTTTAATATTAACATCCAGAAGTTAGAAAATAGTAAAGTAATTATGTCACACTATAAATTTTTTAAAAAAATTGAGTTTTTGGACTACCCTGAGGATATTCTCGATCTTATTAAAACATTATTTCCTCCCTGTTACATCAAATACTAAATAGTTACTCTTAAAACTTTTACCAAATAAAATCATTGCATTTTCCAGATCATTGCATTTTCCAGATAAACTATACAGAACAATAATAAGAATTAATTACAGAGCTTAATATAACAGAATGGATGGTATGGAAGCTTTATATGTTTTGCACTGGAATCCTGATGGGATGTCACAAAGAAAGTAGAGCTTGAGAATATTTGTTGCGAAAAGAATGTTGATTGGCAGGCTAGAGAGCTGATGCAGTTGACATCCGACAATTTTTTTAGTGCTTAATATAGTCCTATTTTATTTCATTTTTCAATTTTGATGAAGTTGTTGTTATGGTAATAAAGTTAATTACTGTTTTGCCTTTTTGTAATTCTATTTTTGTATTTTTTTTTTGTATTTTTTTTTTTTTTTTTTTCCATGCTCCAATCTTAATGCATCTTATATGTATGGGAGCCAATGACGCATAATCAAGTGCCTTTGTAATTAAATATATATAACAGAATAAAAAGAAATCTACAAACATGTAATAAAAAACAGAGAGATATTCAAATGAGGTAGTCAGAAATAAATATGATCTGAAAACTTTTTACATTAAGTATACAATATTGTTTAGCAATGGTTAACCTAGCAATTTTGTAAATTAGCATATTACTAAAAAAAATTAACAGCAGTTCCTGGAATATCTTGTCAGATATGCTTCACATAAGCATTTTAAAATTCTGTACATTCAAACCTTCCCAAGTACGCATGGTACAGCCAAAAGTCTTCAATCCGGACTCGTCGGGACTTCGGCGATTCCGGATTATCGGTTTTTCCAGATTATAGATCATCAGTTTAAATCTGGTTAGATGGCATGCAGAAATTATAAAATTAAAAATAGGAAATCATAATTTATGAAATAAAGAGCAATTATGATCTAAAGAGTATCAAAATTTACAAAAAGAAAGCTTAATATTTATTTGTTTACTTTATTAAACATTTCTTTCAACGCCCGCATGCGTAAAGCATACATTACGCATAGTCGAAATTAGAAAATTGCAACCAGAAAACTATTTGGTGTGTATTCGTGATATTTATAATGATGAGGAATTTGATTTAAATCATATCAAAGACGGAGTACATCAAGATGAAATACTACATTTAATAAAAAATTATAAGCCGAATAAAATAAAAAATCTGCCCTGAAGATAAGGATAGTGCTGAGAGATCAACTTCCAGTTCATTGCGTGCCGCGATAACCCCCCCCCCTCCGGCAAAGCAGCATCAAATTGATAAACAGATTTCAGAATGGTTAGAGAAACAAAGGATATGCCTTTATCAATTTTTTTGGAGCAATTCCACTTTTTGTTTGATGGACATCGAAACATGCTTTCGCTTTGTAGATCCTGTGGCAGCTCCAGAATCGGAAATTCTTTTTGACATAATCGAAAGTTCAAGCTTACTTTTATAAAATTGCTCTAACAGTCTGCAAAAAAAGAATAAGCCGGATCCAATTCGAAGATTATGGAACAATGCAATCTGCAACGTTAACTGAAATAGATAATTAGATAATTTTAGCTTAGCTTATACCGTCCGTTATACATTAAGCACGCATGCATAAAGGTATTATGCGCACGCATTTACGCATGCGCAAAAAGTTTGTAGCTTTGAGGTCCGGATCATAGATCATTCCAGATTATGGGCATCTGAAGTAAAGAATTTTGACTGTACTGAACATGCGCATATTACTGGAAGGAAGAACATAATAATGCATTTATCTATTCAAAGTAATATATATACAGGGTGTTTATAAAGTCCCGGACCCAATTTGATGTTTTATAACTCATAAAATAACAAAGATAGATTAAAATTAATAACATAAATGGTTAGATAGACTCAAATAGTTTCATGACTCTTGTCGATGAACTTCCACATGTGCTCCCTTTGTCGCACGGAGAATATCAAGTCGATATTAAATTTCACGCCAGGTACCGGCAAGCATGTATTGTGGTGTATGCATTCTCCTTAATATCCGGTCGAATAAAACATCACATACAAAAGTACTAGAACAAACACATCAAAAGTAAACATAGCATTGCAATAGTTGCAAAAAAAAAGAAAAAGAAAAAGAAAAATGCAATTAATAAGCAGACGATATTTAGAAAAATACAGATATTTAGACTGGAAAATGAAATTATCTAAAATTAACCACACGCGCAGACGACATTTGCAAAAGTAAAGATATTCAAACCTGAAAAGGAAAATATATAAGTTATTCCATCAATGAATGCCATAAGTTTGTTTATATCTTCATTATTTTATGAGTTATTAAACATCAAAATGGGTCTGGGACTTTATAAACACCCTGTATTTTCATGGTCATGCTACCTGGTTAAGAGATTTAGACAATATCCTTACGTTTCCCTTCTATGATAATCAAGAAACAGAGCTCTAAGACGCAATTTACTGCATATATTGCAGTTTGGATACCTAATCAAAAATTAATCCTATTGCAGTATTTCTGCACTATATTGGATGATAATCCATAATAACACCCATTTTGCAAAACACGAAATTACAGTAGTAGAACAAACTGTTTGATAAAAGCTGAAAAAAAAAGAGTAGAACTTTCAGCATATGTTAAAATATCAGGATAAATCGTTTTTATGTTCTATGGAAGTGAGCACATGTGCAAAAAATCCAAAGACATTGTAAAGATCAGATGCTGCCCTATTGTTTTTTTGCCTGTTATCCATCTCTATTAGTTACAGCAAGATACTATGGTCTCTACCATATTAATCAGTATGATGGTTACTGATACCAGTTATGATATGGACAAGGCTGACAGGCTCAAAACTTTTACAGGCCCTAAGCACTTAAAATATTTTCATGCTCCCACATGCATTTACAGTGCAATGCCTGTTTTTCTCCCATTCCTTTTCTCTCACTCTTGGTTTAGCTGCATCATACACTGCACGGTAAAAGCAACAATAGGTAACAGTTGAAATACCTCCATTCCTGAATACCTAAATATCTCTTTGTGATACCTCTTTTTCTTGACTTCATAAGCATAGACTTATCTGCTTAATGATTGATCTAGCTCTGCAGCTGTCATAGCTTTAGACCCAAACTTGAATACAGGAGAAAGGGATGTTTGTAACATAAAGCGTCTTTATGGTATGGAAGGACTTAAAATACAGTCAAGCTAAATATCCCCTTGAGAGATTAGTAAAAGAAGACCCTAATATCAATCCTCTGAGCTGTTCTCCATCAAAACGAATGAAATATGACAAAAATCCGATTGCCCCAAGGTCAATTTCAAAAATGAAAACCTCTTGCAAACCCAGACTGCAGCATATTCACAGATTGATTGTGAATGGTTAAATTATACAACACTGTAAGTTGTAAAACGGTCATAAATAATAAAATTTAAAAAAATAATCTTATGTGGGCAGCACATGACCTTCCACCAATTCCATGTTTTAAACAGCTAGTAAAGTATCACTTCCAGCTGATCATTTGTAAGCAAAATCCAAGTTGTTATTCCAATAAATAGAAAATTTAATATGGAATTAAGGATTCTGTTTTATTAGGTATAATGATCCAAGTATAAAAAAACTTTTTTAACTGAAATGTTTGCTCTTTTATTTATTTTTATTAAAATTTATGTTTTATTGAGCATGTTTATAACATATTTAAAATAAATTCTTTGAAACTAATATCAGAATTTAATTTTCTTCTGTGTCATTTCTATAGTATTGATACTCTTATTTCTATAATATAGCTCTTTATTATTTATGTATCAGTAAAAAATGCTTAGTTTTTTATAATTGCAACTGAATAGCAACTTCTATTGTACCTTATAGCTAGGTGACTGTAATTACCTGAATAGCAACTGTAATTACCTTATATATTTGCTCTAGTGCCTCTTTATGATCAACAGAGCAAAAGAATAACATATGCATTTTTTTTTTTTTTTTTTTTTTTTTTTTTGTAATATCCTTGCACTAAAAGAGTTTTGCTATTCTGCAAATGAAACATTTACAAAAATCATTCTTTTCCTTTGGCTTTATATAAATCAATACCATGTTTAAACGTAACAGAAATAGCTGCAGTATTTACTGTATTATTTTGGATTAAACTCTTACAGTGATTTCATATTTTTCCACAAAAATCTGTTAAGAACTCCAGTTAAGTAACACATCTGGCCTTTCATATGTAGTCAAAATCTAATATGTTTTCAATCACAATTATATAGACACCATATATGAATATATCAGTTTTAAATACCAAACTTGAGAAGTTTTGGATAATATATTTTGAGTAGAGTAGACTTTAAGGTACCCATTGTATTATGGCTAAGTTGTTGTTTGATTTATCACCAAGTTGTTGTTTGATTTATCGCCAAGTTGTTGTTTGATTTATAGTAGCCTGAGTGGTTGAATGATACGGAAACCCTATTGTGACGTAATCGGGTGCATGATTCTGGGAAATTTTGAATCATTTGATACTTTGTAAACGTTTTTGTGGTGTGTGTTGGTTTGATTCTTTAGAAGGTAGAATGGCCGAATGTAGTAAGATTAATTTGAAGTTTCTGTACGATTTGGAGAGAAAGGGGAAAGAGCTTTAATTGACTGGTGTGTAAATGAAGGTTTACTTTGTAGCCATTATAAGTGTCCTGTATGAGGAAGGATATGCGTCTAATCGAACGTAAAAACCGTTTAGAAGGATTTGTAGGAAGAAAGGTTCAGATGGTCACTATGTCAAGTGTTCGATCAGAAAGAGTACCTGGTTTGAAAAAAGTTATTTGAGTATGACTGATATTTTGATTTTCACGTGGCTC